GACTGAGCCACCCAGGCGCCCCCAGGGTAGGTCTTATCATACCCATTTTTAAAATACATCTCTTTGGTCAGAACCCAACTTGGTGAAGCAATGCAATGGTGTAACCTGCATGACAATGGTTGTGAAAAATATTAAAACAAGCCCCCAGTCAGCTGCTAAGTCAAAGGGTGGGAAAGGGTGCTCAGAAAGCATGCTTCTTTCTGCCAAGAGAGGTTTAAAACCTCTCGTCCTGCTTCCCCCAAGAAGCTAAAAGGTTGAGAGAGCATGAAAGTGGACGTCAGGCAGAGCTGCATCAGGAGGAAAAAGAAAGGGGGGAAGGGCAGGAGAGAAACAAGAAGGAGTACTAAGTTCAGAAAAGAGACTGAATCTGAAAGAAGAAAGTGTAAGCAGAATCAAGACAAAGCATTCTTTCAGTCATCATGACTACAAAATAAAACCAATTTCTTCACCATTTTGGTAATCTCAGCATTAACTTCCACTGTTTCCTGTAGAGCATAGCATTGTGCTTACTCACAAGACATGTGAAAGAAAGAACGAAAGAACAAAAGAAAGAAACAAAGAAAGAAAGAAAGAAAACAAAGGAAAGAAAGAAAACGAAAGAAAGAAAGTTGTTATATGACCAATCTTTTCTGTGTTTGGTGGGACGGGAGCTCTTCTACAAGAAAAATATTAACAATCTCCTATCCTCCTTCTCTGGGTCTCCAAATAAAAACACCCCAGAAGGACTCTGCTCCTCTTACTCATTGTAAATTACATAATAAACAGAATCTCATTGGAAATTTTTGCCCTTGTTTTGGGTCAGCCTCTCATCTTAGTCATCCAGTCTACTGATGATATAGTTGAACCTGAATTTTTATTAATCTGCTTTTCCTTAGCATGTGAATTACTTTGGGAAAGTAAACTGACAGTAGATTCTAAGCAATAGACTGATACAAATCTGCAAGTTTTCGTCCAACCTTCTTTTACCATCCCAAAGGGTCTAACATTGAATTTCCAGCTGTAGTGAATTTTATTTATTTATTTGACAGAAAGAGAGACAGCGAGAGCAGGAACACAAGCAGGGGGAGTGGGAGAGGGAGAAGCCAGTTTCCCGCGGAGCAAGGAGCCCGATGCAGGGCTCGATCCCAGGACCCTGGGATCATGACCTGAGCCTAAGGCAGACGCTTAACAACTGAGCCACCCAGGCACCCCACGTATTTATTTTTAAATTTTCTTTATTTATTTGTGAGAGAGAGAGAGAGAGTGAGCACGAGGGGGGAGGAACAGAAGGAGAGGGAGAAGCAGGCTCACAACTGAGCACAGAGCACGACACAGGGCTCCATCCCAGGACACCAAAATCATGACCTGAGCCAAAGGGAGCCGCTTAACCGACTGAGCTACCCAGGCGCCCCTGCAGCGAATTTTATTAATGCATATTTTACATAATGCAGACTGTGAGGTCTAGCAACGTAATGGAAACATTCCCTTTAAAAAGAAAAATAAGGGCTCGCCTGGGTGGCTTAGCCAGTTAAGCATCTGACTCTTGGTTTCGGCTGGGGTCATGATCTCAGGTCGTGAGATTGAGCCCTGAGTAGGCCTCCCCGCTCAACGCGGAATCTGCTGAAGATGCTCTTGCCCTCTCCCTCTGCCCCTCCCACTCATGCTCGCTTTCTCTCTCTCTAAAATAAATAAATAAATCTTAAAAAAAAAAAGATAAAATGATACATGTAATTGCATTATAAAATATATACATGACACCTGATAGATACTCAAAACACATCATCCTCATCATAGCACTTGGCACTTTTTATTTATTTAGCAATCTCTTTCACAAGACTTTGACATCCCATCTTCCTGCCCCATTCTTGTTTGAGGACACATCCTACTGCAGGTCACTCTGCTGCCACCCAGCTCTGACCAGCCTTGACCACTGACTTGGACTTGAGTCCCTCATTGCCTCTGCCTCACAGTGGTTCCAGGTGCCCACTCCTTCACTGACCTCAAACTTTCTGTATATTGACTTTCTACCATAGTTGTGCTTAAACTGTTTCAGTATACATAAGTACCAAGCCTTCCAGTAACACACATACACACACACACACACACACACACACATTAGTAAAAAGTTTCATTTGCAATGAATATCGATACCAGGACATTACAACAGGTAAAGTCAAGAAGAAAATGTTCAAAAATGGTGGCTCTCAACATCCATGTACATTACTAAAGTGCTTTCTCTTCCCTCTTATTCCAGATCATCTTTTCTCCTACCTCTTGTTCCAGGTAACTTTATCTCCAACACCCCATGTAACTCTCACACAGTGTGGATGGTTCCATTTCAAATTGTATTTGTCCAACAGCTTCACACATTTATTTCCCAATAATTTCACAAAGCTCACTCACTTATTCAGACAACTGAAATGATTCCATCATTAGGAATAATAATTTAGATCTATAGAATAGTTAATATACATATGCTGTCTTCTACATATATAATCTCATTTAATCAGCAATATAGCATTTTAAAGGTCCTCTTTTAAAATCCATGTTAAAATCAGTGCATCACAACCAGCACCCACTATAGTTTGATCATAGGATGACATAAATTAGTACATTGTTATTACATACATTTGTACATGCTTATTAACATTCCTTCTGAAAACAGGTTGCACTGAAATACTCGGTACATCTGGTTTTCCCAAGAATAAGTCCTGGCTTCTCTGGGTGTCACAGTGTCTTCTCCCTGTAGGGTAAAAACTCTGATCTTCTCATCAGTGTCAGCCATGAATAGTTTTATAACCTCCCAGTAGGTTATGTGCTTTGGAATTTTTCATTGGCCTGTGAAACATTTATTATATTCTGAGAACTTATTAAGCATGGTAAAAAACATGGAAAAGATATAGTCCCTATCCAGTACCCTCTTCATCTAAATAGCACAAGCAACCAAATAAAAATAGTGTGTCGCAAAGATTGGTTTCAATTTCCTTCATTTCTTTTTAGGATTATGATGTCATTTTTCAAAGACCATGTCCGGGAGCTTCAGTCTAAGGAGAGCCTGTGGTCATATGAGATTAGAGGCTGGTTCACCAAAGAAATGAGTTTTGAACAAGACCCACTGAAGCAGAATTTGGGCAATACATCAGAAGAAACGCTGAAATGGAGCTTAGCATAAAAGAACTGAAACACCAGCTTTTTTTTTCTTTTGCAGAATCATCTACTAGATAAAATTCTGAATTTGGAGTAAAGAAATGTTTGAATGCCTGGTCCTTGCTCTTAGCAATGATGAAGTCCATGACCTCAGGCAAACGATTTTACCTCTTTCTACTTCTGTTTCCCCAGGTGTGAAAAGGGGATACATTTTTGATCTTGTGCTACTTGCAGAGATGACAGAAGTGCATAGAATACACACACAGTGAGCATTTGAGACCTTGGTTGTAGGGGCCTGAGTACTGGTTTCTCTCCTTCCATTTATAAGGGGCAGATTGAGAGCAGCCAGAATCCTGCACGGGTCCAATCTCGAGCTTGTGTGCAGGACCTGGAGGACAGCAGTTCTCCCATTGCTTCTCATCTAGATCTTCTCCCTAGCGCGGGGAGAGGGCTACCATCCCCACAGTCATTGCACTGCACCTCCCCGGGAGGGGCTGAGGTCCATGGACACCAGCAGATAGGGGATCCGCTCCCTGTCTGGGACCATATGTGCAAGATGGTCATATGCTGGGGGACTTGCTATTTGTCCCGCTCCAAATTATGTTCACTAGCATTTACACAGAGCTTAATCATTTATCAGCACTGTTTTATTTCACTGGGCTATCACAAGAACCCCAAGTGCTATCATCCAAGAGCTGCAGAGCACCAGGGGACCGGACAGGTAGTCCTAGGTTAGAATTCCGGCTTAGCGGTCCACTGACCACGTGACCTTGTGCAAAATTCTCAGCATCCGTAAACCCCAAATGTCTGTCTACAACACAGGATCACAGAAAGGGATCTAATAGGGCTCTGTGAGTATGAAGTATGAATTCAAGTAAAGCATTTAGTGTAGTGCCTGGTTCATTGTAAGCACTCCATAAATGCTGGCTATGTTTGCTTGTTTGTTTGTTTGTTTAAAGATTTTATTTTTTGACAGAGAGAGACACAGCGAGAGAGGGAACACAAGCAGGAGGAGTGGGAGAGGGAGAAGCAGGCTTCCTGCGGAGCAGGGAGCCCAATGTGGGACTCAATCCCAGGACCCTGGGATCATGACCTGAGCCAAAGGCAGACGCTTAACGACTGAGCCACCTAGGCGCCCCTACTTGTTTGTTTTTTATTCAAACTTTATTTTTTAGAGCAGTTTTAGATTCGCAGGAAAATTCAGGGGAAGGCACATAAATTTCCCCTATATCCCCTGCCCTCACACTGCCCACCCCCGCCCCGCCAACAAACACACAGAGCCTCTCCCATTATCAACACCCCTCACCAGAGTGGTACATTTGTTACAACTGATGAACCCACACTGACACATCATCATCACTCAAAGTCCATAGCTTACATTATGGTTCCCTCTTAGTGTTGTGTAGTTTGTGCATTTGGACAAATGACATGTACCCATCATGGCATCATACAGAGAATTTTAATTGCCCTAAAAATCCTCTCTGCTACACCTATTCATTCCTTGCCTCCACCCCAACCTTAATAACCATGGATCTTTTTACTATCTCCATAGTGTGGCCTTTTCCAGAATGTCATTTAGTTGGAATCATATGATATGTAGTCTTTCCAGATTGGCTTCTTTCACTTAGTAATGTGCGTTTAAGTTTCCTCCATGCTTTTTCATGGATTGATAGCTTGTTTCTTTTTAGTGCTGAATAATATTCCATAGCCTGGATGTGCCACCTGGCTATATTTTTAATGCCCCTGTCAAATAGACACAGAGAGGTAGTAATGTGCCAAATAATAATTACAGCCAGTAAATAATAAGTCAGGACTTAAACCCATGATTCCCTCATCAGCACTCCTACAGTCCCAGCTCAGATGAGCCCATGTAACTGGCAAACACACTTAGACATGAAAACTGTAGCCCCACTTCCAGGGAATGGTCAGTAGACTGTACATTTCTGTTGTTGGAGAGAAATTCTTATTCTCTTTGCTTAGAGAGACAACCCTCACTGGGTAGAACACAGAGGATGCTCACAGAGGTGCCCACTCTTTCTCTCAGCCAGTCTACTAAAGCAGGGCTGCTCGGATAGAGTAGGTCTGCGTTTTCATACTTGAATATAGTAGGTCTGCATTTTCAACAAAATTTTTCCTTCCTAACAAAATTCCAGGTGGTGCCATGCTGCTGGTCCATCGACCAGACTTTGTGAAGGAAGAGGCTAGCCCATCATGCTCTCTGAGAGGGAAAAGGTCAATGATTCAATAATTCATCTGACAATTCTTTATGAGTGTCTATTACATGCTAAATACTAGAAATCTAATGAAGAGGGAGCAAAAACCTGACATCTTGGACATTCTATAGGAGAGGAGAAACACATAAAATAGTAACAAATGCTACAGAGGGAAAAAACAAACAAACAAACAGGGCAGACCAAAAAAAAAAAAAAAAGCAGAGACAGACAGTGAAATGAGGATGTTCTTTAGCGTGGTCAGAGACAACCTCTCTAAGAAGGTGTCATTTAAGCTGAGAGTTGAAGGATAAGAAGCTAGCTCTGCAAAAAGCAGAAGAGGAACCTCCTGGGCTTAAGCACTTGTAATGTCCCTGAAACGGCAAGAGAGGAGAAGAGGAATTCTGAATTTCATTTTAATGCATTCGTTCTATCTGTTGGGTGAAGAATGGGCTGTAGGGGAGCAAAAATGGCAGCAAGGAAACTGGCCAGAGGCCACTGCAGGGGTTCAGGAAATAAATGATGGAATTCCAGGCATGTGGTGCTGAAATAAAGCATCAAAGATGGCCTGGCAGAAGGAGAGGGTTAAGTGAGGGCAAACAACCCAGACTCTTCCATCTTTGTGCCCAGCGTCAAGTCAGTCTACCACAAAGACAGCAACAAAGGGATGACAAAGAGAAAATATTCATGATACAGAAGGGCTGGCCTCATGGAGAGAAGGAAACATACCACTTTGGCAGGAAGAGTCTCCAGGTAGTAATAACAATGATGAAATTAGGGCAATGCCCCAAAGCTCTAAAGCTGCGCTGTCCAGCTTGGTAGCCACTAGCCACAAGTGGCTATTTAAATTCAAATCAATGAAAATGTAGTAAGATTAAAGTTCAGTTTCTCAGGCTCACTAGTCACCTTTCAAGGGCTCCACAGCACATGTGGCTTGTGACTACCATTTTGAACATTAGAGATTCATAGAACATTTCAATCACCATAGAAAGTTCTAGTGGACCGTGCTGCTCTAGATGGCTAGGATGTGAGTTAAAATAAAGGAATGATGACAGCTCTTAAGATATTCCCTGAAGGAATGTTTGTAATTTTCTGGCATATAGACTGTACTCAGGTAATGTGCCCTAGGGTCTGTTTGCTATACAAGTAAACAGGAAAAAAATGTGTAGTGGGGCTTCCATGGGATGAAGATTGGAAGAACAGGTACCATATAAAGACAGGTGGATAGGGAATTAAGTATGCTGATACGAGAATCATTTCATTGGCCAATCCAAGGGACCTAGGCCAGGTAGGAACTTAACTAAAGCCATAATGAAAACAAATGGATTTTGAGAACTGAGAGTGTGAAAGGGATGTGGGATCTGGATGTTGGTCAGTAATGAATTCAGTCAGTGAATGGAGCGGGAGAAGGGAAGGTGGAAAGTGAATTCAGATAAGGAAATTTCATGATCTGAGATCTTGAGGGAGAAGTGGTCAGTCCAACACATGGCCTTGCCCATGGTAGCTAACGTGGAGATAAAGATCATATTCAGGAACTGTAAGACCGCAACAACATGGATTATTTTAACTTTTTCTTATGAAAAATCTCAAGCTTATGTGAAAGTAGAAACATGGTATCATAAGCCCCCAAATACCCTCAACCTAGCATCAACAATTAGTTAACTCATGGCCAGTCTGGTTGACATGGATTTTAATGTCATCAAGACACTGGGAGATCATGGTGTAGAGAAAGGAAAGTGGGAGCAGGTGGCAAAAACAGAAAAAGGATGGAAGTCCTCCTCCCCATGGGCAACTACGGCAACTCAACAGAAGAGGTGAAATTCAAAGCAAGAATGGTGCTCATGCAGGAACAATGGGAAGCAGGCAACACAACATCTGGCGTGTCGTAGAGACTCGATAAATAAGAAGGCAGAGAGGAATAGACAAGTGGGGGGGCAAGGGATGTCCTATTCCCATCTCCCTCTATCTGTGGGGGATTTACCCAGCAGGAAACGGACACGGAGAAAGAAGAAACCCAATGGAAAAGACTTTGAACTTCAGAAAAATCTAGGTTTCAGTAATGGGTACACCCCCATAGATTATAGTAATCTGGCCAAGCCACATTAGATCCATAAAATGTTGAGCAAAAACAACACAGTAGAGAATTTTGCTCCCTGCTGCTATTTGAAAAGAAAGCTCAGCTACAAAGATTAGTCTCCATTAATGGGAGACCCAGGTGGCTTTCCTTCGCCCTCTGCTCCATCCTGATGAAGATCAGTGTCACCTCTACAGTTCGTCCTCAATGAGCACAAAAACTCTTCCCGAGCCAGTGAGTTACTCTCTCAGGGTAAGTGTGATGGGCAGGGCTGCCCGTGCATGGGCCTGTGGTGGCTCAAAGACCTTGAACGGTATTCTGTATTTCTCTCAATTTTAACAGAACCTGTGAGTGACTGAAGTCCACAATCGCACCAAAAGCTTCCTCCAAAGTTTGCCTCTTGGAGCATTCAGAGTCCTAAAACTCTAAATGCAGCAAGCAAAAAGCACGGATGTGAGTATTCCTATGTGCTTAAAGCAAGACTCTAAATTTGTCTTCCTTCTCCTGGAGGAAAACACACCACAGTCTCCTGACACCAGAGTTCACTGCTTGGTTTCCTAAGCCACTTTCCCGGCTCGGTTTCGGTCTGGAAGTGTCCTGAGAGGGGAGGGAGGGTACCGCTACTCCATGTGATTTACATTAATGCTATTCATGATGTTTATCCGAACTCCGCAGGAAGCAGCTCACCATATGGTATTCATGTTTGTGTGTTGCTAAAATACATCCAGAACCCCCATTGTA